GGACCATTATTCAGATTTAGGTCTTTTTATCAAAGCTTTTGGGTAGTGCTAAGTAGACAGTGCTTACGAATTGAGAAGGCAAATCCCAAAATCTAAAAGTTACTGTTTGTACTTTGAGCATGGGTTTCCTGGGACTTGAATTAAATTGAACACTTGAATAAAGCTCTAGGCATACAGATAGATAATGTTAATGCTTTCCAACATTGGCAGTGTTTGTGCAGCGGAACCAATTGTTTGCTACATGTAGTCTGAGTACCACATGTTGTCCAACAGAGCCCTCTCCAACCAACGTCTGTATGTGAGCAACTCAAATGTTATGTGAACCTGCGTGCCAGCCAATCACAGTCGACAGGGATTTGTTTTGGATGTTTGAGGAGTTGTGTTGGCTTTGCGAGGACTTGATATGAAGTTGAGAGGACATGTGAGGTGTAATGAGGACCTGTGTTGGACTTGTGAGGACTTGTACGTGGTGAGGCTTGTTTTGGACATGTAAGGATTTGTGTTGGACATCTGATATGGACTTGTGAGGACTTGTGATGAGGGCTTGTACTTGTGAGGACTTGTGTTGGTTTTTGAGGATTTATGCTCCACTTGCGAGGACTTTATTTAAACTTGTGAGGACATGTGAGGAGATGTGATGAGGGCTTGTGTTTGACTTGTGAGGACTTGATGACTTAGACTTGTTTTGTGTAAGGACTGTAAGGAACTGTGTTAAACTTGTGAGGATTTGCATTGATATCAACTTGTGCAAGACGTGTGAGGAGGTGTGATGAGGATTTTATGATGAGGACTTGTGTTTGTGAGGACTTGTGATGAGGACTTGTGTTTCTCTTGCGAGGACTTTTCGTGGAGTTGTGAGGACGTGTGAGGACTTGTGATGAGGACTTATGTTGGACTTGACTGCAACACTACTTACAGAACGGACCCGAGAGACAGCACTAGTACAGAATGATGTAATGCTTGCATGCATGTACACAAGGGCCAGAAATTGCCGTAAAAGGATCTTGCATGCAGAAGAAACATCAAAATGTCAGAGATGTAGTCCCGTCCATCACAAGTCTGGTCACTAGGAACATGAACTGGACAATAATAGGACCAAGGAACGCCCAGCGTTTTTCACAGTTCATTTGAATAGCTTGCCACTTGATTTGACTTGTGACTGGGTGACCTGCGATGGCTCGACAACAACTCTGCAGAATATATTTGTTTCTCCAAACCCTTTAGAGAAAAAACTTGATTTGCACTTCTACGAGGTCAGCAAATGTGGAGTAGAAGTGTAAAGTGTTGAATACCTGTGTTGAATCGGACTTGGACCTGGAGTGCTCTGAAATGAGCAAAACTAAATCCGGCCAACTTTACTCATGCACTCTTAATTAGCCAGCGAATTTCTCCAAAAATTTCACTGGGCAAAGAAAAGGTCCTCATTATTTCACCAACCAAGTTTGAAGACTCAATTCAATTTTTAAAGGAGACATTTCTTCAATACTTTGCACATGACAGAGACCACCGGTAGTTCCTGGTTCATGCCACGTGTTTCTTTTGGCACAGTTGATTGATGCACTGAAGCGGTGTTTGACTGGTAGTTTTAGGTGTCAGTCTGTTTTCTTGTATTACATGTTTTCAATACCTTAAGTTTTGGGACTCTCATACACAGTATTGAGAGTCTCAAATTTTTTGAACTAGTGTTGAATATGTGTGTGAATCATTTGCTTTTCATGTGTTTTGTTCGTTTCTGATAACAAAACCACTCAAAATGGTTTCAACTCATTGGATATTAAACTATTCAAAAAAACAGTGATAAACCATGCACAGTCTTACTATGTCACGAAGTGTGATTTCACCTATGTAACTCTTACATGTGTATCTCCAAAAATCAATCAATTCACAGATCATTGGAAATCACCTACATTTCTTGATTTCTTTGAAATGACATTAAGGCCAAAAAAAAAAAATAGTCGGTCTCTGGTCAGACCAAAGTTCTGAAATCGATGCGGCGACGCGTTTTTTTGTATTTTTTTTTTTTTTTTTTATAAGCATGGATTGTACAGACAAGGTGGGTACTATTTTTTGCCTTTTTGTGTCCTCATATACATTGGTGTCCTCCATAATGTGCCTTGGTGCCCTCCATCATTTGCCTTGGTGTAGTTTCCCCATTCCTTGGTACAAAAATTTGAGAAGTTGCGGAAATAGAGGGCGCTGTTGTAGCTATCGTGGACAATTTGAAGAAAAAAAGGTTGACGTGCATGATTAAAATCGACGCGCGCGCTGTCCAGAGACCGACTATTTATTTTTGGGGGGGCCTAAGCCAGATGGAATAATTTCACAGGATGTTTAGTACTTGAAAGATCTTTAATCCAAGTTACCTTTTTGATAATAATTCAGTGCTTTTGGGAAAAATTCAAATAATCAAAAGGCTTGATTTGTACTTGTACTTGCATAAGATTTTAAAAAAATGTGGAATAAGGTTGTTGCATTGACTTTGCCTCGATTTGCGCCATTAATGGTAATTAATGCCCGTGGTTAAAAATGGTCCATTGTGATTTTGCATTTATTCCTCAAATTTCAGAATCCAAAATTTACTTCAATAATAAATTTTGTAGAAGGTGCCGGAGCCTGTGTTGAATGTGTGTGATTTAACCTTAAAAAAAAAAGGTTTATACCTGTTTCTATGATGCACACAAAAGCATTATGTAGGCTTTTTGAAATTGGACAATGTAAGTCTGTATTCATGTATTCATGATGGTTAAAATACAAGAGCCACCTCTTAATACAAAACTCGATTGCAATTCCAATGAAATTCAAGCAATAAACCCGGCCACAAGGTAAACAGCTACAGCTCCTGACATTTGTATCAACCGGGGCACGCATCCGGTGTTCGGAAGGGGAAAAAAGTTTGCTGGCAGAGTGTGTTACAATACTTGCCGTAAAGTGACTCAGAAAAGGAAAACTGCAAGACGACCCATACTCAAATTTGTATCCTACTTGTGGAGACATCGCTTTGTTCTCGTGTACAAAATCGTGAGAGGGTTGAACGCTATTTTCAAAATGCTCCTATTTGAACCAGAATTACTTTCCTGGGTTGAAATTCTAACCAAATATCCCTTACATAAAATACTTTGATTTGTAACGGATACCTTGGAAATGCCTAGTTTTTGAGTAAAATCCCTAATACTGGAATTTGTATCCTTTGTGGCGTTTCTTTGTTCTCATGTTCTGAAGTTTTCCGAGTTTGAAAGTGTACTTTCAAAACGCTCCTATTTTAACCAGAATTAATTTTCTGGGCTGAAATTCGGACTTTAATAGGCCTATCCCTTACATAACATACCCGGTACTTCAATTTGCGACTGATCAACACTCTTGGAAATTCCTACTTTTTGAGTAAAATCCATCTATTTCGTGATAACCTTGTGGAGACGTATCCACCAATAGAAATTGCTCTGTGGAGACACAATCTTTTGTTCCCTATTATGCACATGTCTCCACAGGGTACCGTGTACCAGATCCCTATATAATATCTATTACGTAAAATCCTTGAGGAGACCTACATGTACATGTACCAGTATTCACCATTAGAAATTACCTTGTGGAGACCTTTACAATCTTTTGTTCTGTATTATACAATGTACCCGGGTCTCTACAATGCATCATTTTTCGAAAACAACCGTGCCAATATATGAGGTAGTAAAGGTCACATGAGGGGTGATCATTGGGGGTTCATATGTTCAGACAAGGCTTGGGTAGACCGTGGATGAAACTGATCTGGATACTCGCACGTAATCCCGAGCTAACCCGCTGAGCGATTTTGGCCGATGCTCCGAGTGAATCTCACTGTCCTAATGCTCTTCTAGGTTCTGTTCAAACTCATCTCTCTTAATGGCACCCAGTGTGTGTACATGTACATTTACCCCGCCACGTCGTCGGTTTACGGCTGACGACAAACCGAGGGCCCCGCTCGTTAGAAGGCAGGTAACATGAGACGCTTGCTCAGTGGTGGCGTGACGGTAGACCGACGTGCCGCGTAATACCTGATCACGATCCAATCGAACTAAAAAAAAAAGACACCCGTCCTACCCATGACCTACATGTGGACGCTGATGATGAAAGACTTTCCTTGAATCCAATGTACAATTCCGGTGGGGGAAATGGCAAGATCTCTCCCTTCCCATTTGGTGTGGGGATAGGAAATGTCACGGACAGGTGTTTCTGCTATAATTTATGGCAGAGCATCCGTGTGTGTTTTCCAAATGAGTTATAATGTATTACTGATAAATGGAGAGGACAGATTAGATGAGACGAAAGATGATGTTTCAGAGAAAAAAAAATTATGCAGCATTTGTTTTGGCCCGGCCATTAGATTGATGATGGTTGTAAAAAGATAAGTCATATTAGTAAGCGGAGAAATGAAGATGAATTGCCTGTGTGAGGAAGGATATTATTAGCGAGTGATGCTCGGTTTGGGAGTTAGTTATCCCCGGTTTTCCAGACACGTACGTTCGTCCGGCCTTGCAGCTGATCAGCGAGTCGTCTTGCCTTAATGGAATTCCACGCCTCTGTAGGCACGGCGCGTGCCCACACTTCTCGACAACTGATGACGTCTGGCGGGCTCTCGGCATTCTGGCTCGGCTGGGCCATCCGTCCTCTTTCTCTCTCTGTCTCTGTCAGTGACGGGCCCCGGATATAAGTTCGGTCAGGAGGCTCGGGTTGCAGCAGTTGAAACAAGCACGTCAGAATATGATGATGACAGTGATGATAGAAGCGCCGGGCCAGATAACCGTCTGGAACTGAAACGATCAACTTGTGGCCGAAGCACGGATCACGACCACCGGGTTTTTACCTTTTTTCTCCGCTGCTGGTCAGCGCAATTGACTTTTCACCTTCGAAAAATTTCTCCGATATCGAGACAGTATCATCACCCAGAGAGAAAAAAAGACTTCCGTTTCTTTTTGGAAAGAGAAATCTCTCACTTTTGACATTATTTTCGTACCTTGTTGCGTCAACAGTGCCAGGGATTTAAAAGACAAGATGCGTTTTCTGCGGAGGCGACACACCGACAGCTCGCTACGAGACACGGCCGATAAACTGGACTGCGACAAATCGTCCCTGGTTCAAGAGTCCGGCGAGTCGGATGTTAGGAAATGGTCGGACTGTTTTGAGAATCTACTACACGACAAAAGTGAGTACAAGTTTTAAAGGTTATTTTTCCCTACCCTTTCCCTTTTTCTCATAAAAAAAAACTGTTTTCTGTGCACCAACTCAAATATAAATTTGTATTTGAGAAACAGGAAATACCAATTTAAGCAACGTTTCAAAAATCCTTGAAGTTAGCCTGATTTTGCTGGGAAAAAAGCATGAGGTTTTCTGCAAATAGTGTCCAAAAAGTTTTTGCTATAATAATTAGATAGATAGTGGAGACTTCTTAGTTATTGCCCACCAGACAAAATTTATAATGGTTAATTTTTTTTACGTCATTTGAGAAAACGCCCTTTTTGTTGTTTGTTTGTTTGTTTGTTTGTTGGTTTTTTTTGAGAAACATTTTTCACTACCGACCTAATCCCCGTTTAGAAAAATATTGGAGCACGTTAGGCTGAACTTCAAGGAATATGAACGTCAAAGAATATGAATGGCTTTGTTTGCATGTGTGTTCCAGATGGAATTGAAGAGAGTTGGAAATCTGACTATAGTGTAACAGTCAGGTCTTTCACCATTACTCTAAGCTGAAACGACCTGTTGAGGATAAACAAAATTCAGTCAAGCAGTGAATATTTCCTGGAATAATTCAACCATGAATTGAATAGGATTATGCGGTTTGCGTTTGGGATAAACCCCACCTCCAGTTCCAAAAATATATCTTAAAAAAAACAACATGAATGGATAAGCTCCGGTGAAGTGGGAATTTTTAATACCGTGTGGGCTCATTCCAATTTTCCAAGTATCTCTATCATGAGCCAATATGGCCCATCAGGCCGGCTTTTGTCTCCGGTTTCCTAGGCATAAGGACTGAGAATATTTCTATTCCCCCTGGATGGGATGGAGTCGATTGCAGGTTATTACTCGATCACCAGCTTATGCTAGTGCTCGTTTATACTCCTGGGTGGAGAGTGGCAAGTGGGAGTGAAGTGGCTTGCCCAAGGACACAACATATGACCAGCGGCTGGATTCAAACCCCTGACCCTCAGATCATGAGTCACGAATCCTAATCACTAGACCACACTCCCCTATTTCCAAGAGCCTGCAACTAGGGCCCAAAAATACCCAATACTTCTGCCTTCGGTTACCCTACCTACCCTATTTTGACAGCCCCTACCCTAATTTTTTTGGGGGAAAATGAGAAAAAGACACCGAAAACCATCAATTACTACCTTGTTCCCTTTATTTCACACAGACACCTGCATATGATCGTACACACAAAAAATTGCCCCCCCCAAAAAAAAAAAATATATATTCCCTACCTACCTACATGTACCCCATTTTCAAATGCCATATAATCAGGAGCAGAATTTTGTAAATTTTTTTGTGCCTTATTTGAAAGAGTTGTCCAATTTTGAAACTCCATCGCCCATGCATTCAGCCTTTTCCAGGAAAATTCATCACGGTTTACACTAATCACCGTTTATGAAAATTAGCTAGAGACGCTAATTTGTGTAGCCCTGTGCACGCCTCCTCAGTATACCCAGAGGCATTCACGACATTTGAAATAGCAGACAGTCTTTGAAGCTGGGTTGTAGATCCATTGTTTACTTAACAAATTGTGAGTGGGGGAAGTGGAACCATTCTAAAAATTGATTGCCAGTCAAGGAATTTATTTGTTGGGGTCAGACGTGGGAAGGAACGGGAGACTTCAACATTAGTATGATTTTGATCTGTTAACAAACCTGGTTTTATTTTTATCCAACAAATATAACTTATTCCAGAAACTGATTTTGTGGCTATTAATGTTTCCAGCAATCAAATTCTCACAACTGCTGATATTATTTCCAAAATCAATCTGCAGAGATCAATTTGTAACCCCTCCCCCCCCCCCCAAAAAAAGAATCTAATTCTCACAACTGTTGATATTATTTCCAAAATCAATCTTCAGAGATCAATTTGTAACCCCTCCCTTCCCCCCGAAAAAGAATCTAATTCTCACAACTGTTGATATTATTTCCAAAATCAATCTTCAGAATTCAATTTGTAACCCCTCCCCCCCCAAAAAAAATCAAATTCTCACAACTGTTGATATTATTTCCAAAATCAGTCTTCAGAGATCAATTTGTAACCCCTCCCCCCCCAAAAAAAATCTAATTCTCACAACTGTTAATATTATTTCCAAAATCAATCTTCAGAGATCAATTTGTAACCAAGAAAAAAAAAGAATCAAATTCTCACAACTGTTAATATTATTTCAAAAATCAATCTTCAGAGATCAATTTGTTACCCCTCCCCCCCCCAAAAAAAAGGATCAAATTCTCACAACTGTTAATATTATTTCCAAAATCAATCTTCAGAGATCAATTTGTAACCCCTCCCCCCACCAAAAAAGAATCATATTTTCATACTTGTTGATATTTTTTTCCAAAATCAATCTTCAGAGATCAATTCGTAAACCCACCCCTCCCCCCACCAAAAAAGAATCATATTTTCATACTTGTTGATATTTTTTTCCAAAATCAATCTTCAGAAATCAAGTTTTAACCCCTCCCTCCCCCTCCCCCCCCCAAAAAAAAAAGACTAAAGAAGGGTTAATATTTGTCAGAATTTGTCATTTTTCTTATTTCAAGTTGTTTGTCAGGATTTTTTAGGGTCTCAGGATTTTTCCTAATTTCAGGGTTAAGTTAAGGAATCCCTTTTGAAAGCTGAAATTCCTTTGTTTTTATCTATAAAAATTTAAATAAAACTAAAGGAAAACAAATTTACACCAGCAAATATCATAGACTTTACGTTGCACTGGGACCCCAACGACCCTCGTACCAGCCTTCTGTCGATTTTTTTATGGATTTCTCATTTTCCCTCAATCTCAGCCTTGAAACAAGCAAACAGAACCTGAGAAATAAAACTGTGCTAATCGGTCATCTTATTTCACAAGAACCCCCACGCACAGATCTACAGATGGGAAAAACAATCTGAAATTGTGTTTTCTTGTTCGTCAGTACTGAAATCACTGAAGTGGTTGAATTGCATCTGGGACAAGGAGGTGAATATAATATTCCCAAACTGCGACAGAAACACTAAGAACTCATGGTGCTCTCAAAGTGACTCTAGATCTGCTTCGGTTACCCAATTAATGCCAACTTTATGCGATTGGGTTTCTATTCTCTTGTTGGGATTGGCAGACTTGTTGAGATTTGAGAAAGGGAGACATGGACAAACAAGTTTGAGTGAAAAATACAAGATTAGGGAAAACTTTTTACTTGTGGATATGTTTCCTTTAACGCCGACAGATAATTCTTGCTGTAAACCAACATATTGAAACTATTGATTATTGATTATAAACATGATAAAGCTTATTTACAAGGAAGCCATTTTGATCGTGTTCCCTGAATCTATTTTATACATTGTAAACTGTTGACAAAAGATGGTGCCAGACTATTTTAGGATTGGAGTGCATTCCAAGCCTCATTTCAATTTTGTTTTAAATGTGGCTTAAAACAGGGTATGTTTAATCACAAATTTTAAATTGTTCATCAGAGCAGACTGATATTAATTTGTAAAGAACTTTTATGCTGTTGCCTTCATTTCTAATCGCAAGTTCCAAAAATGAGGAGTTTACCCCGCTTTCAACGTAATATGGCCGACTTGGGAATAAAGTCTATAACATCTGGTAAACAGAGATACCAGAAACTTGCTTAAGTTTTTTAAGCACACAGGTCATTCTATAAAGGGTGAGTCAAAAAAAGCGAAACCCAAATGTGGGGACTTTTGTTTTAGTGAAGTTCTGCATGTAGCACTTTCAAAATCTTGGATATGAAAGCCCAATTCATAAGCTTTCTTTTAGTATAAGAATCGTTCAAATCAGTCAAGTACTTTTGAAGTTACGTAATTTTAAACACAACCACCGTTTTAAAGTTCTTTCCACAGATCACAAAAAAGGTGTGCGTTCTTTCAGCAAAACGAAACAATTCACACACATCCCTATGTGATTTGTTTTTGTTTTCCTGAAAGAACACTTACCTTCTGTTAATCTGTTGACAGAAGTATAAAACGGCGGTTGTGTTTAAAATTTCGTAACTTGAAAAGTACATGAGTGATTTGAATGATTCGTGTACTAAAAGAAAGCTTATGAATTGGGCTTTCATACATGTATCCTAGATTTTGGAAGTGCTACATGCAGAACTTCACTAAAACAATGGTCCAGACATTTGGGTTTCGGGTTTTTTTTACTCACCCTGTATGGGGTCCACTCTTTTTTCCTGTCCCTGTTACATAATTCAGTTGCTATTCAACTTATTTGTCATGGGCATATCATTTTGGTTCGGTTCTAGTTTAAGGTTCAAAAGACTGGAAAGGATTTTTTTTCATAAATTTTTTCATAAAGTGACAAACAAATAATTAGAAAATATTTCAAAGGGCCCCAAAAACTACAATAATAGGCATACACCTCTTGCATCGTAAAAGTTCTTAATTTGCCCAGAGATATTTACGTATTTTGCACCTGTTTCTTGGTTATATATATCAAAAACAAAAACACCCGCCAAAGTTGCAGGTATCTTTGCTGTTTTCCTGTCTAATTCAATCCCGATCTCAATCTCAACGCCGGCATGATCGATTGGAAAAGTCCTTGAGAGCGCAAGAACGTATTGCAAAGAGTAACTATTGACCATAGTGGCGTCCCTAGAATCTTATTTGAGTAGAGAGAAAATAGAGTAAGCTAAGAAAAGAAAAAAAAAAAAGGGAGGCAAAAACCATGGCTCATCGAACTCTACAACCGAGTTATTTCCCTTTCGTTGAATGTCCATAGTTACAATACACTGCAAAATTGAGTTATCTTTGAATCAATAAAGCCTTAATTCTATTTTGGGGAGGCCTGGGCATTTTGGGGGGCGGGCAGATGCGCGAATTCAGCAAGTAAGAGATATTTTGTTTCTCTTTTTGTTGGGGAATACTGTAGAGTTCTAATAGGGACATTATTATTGATGAGATGTTGTCCATTGCATTGAATTACTTGATGAATTTTAGGTGAGAATTTATTGTCTT